GTTTTGAACCTTATAGACATGGTGTCTAAATGCAGAAACTTGTTTTAAACCTTATAGACATGGTATCTAAATGCAGAAACTTGTTTTAAACCTTATAGACATGGTATCTAAATACAGTTTGAATCATGCAGAATTAAAATATTCCTATAGGCATGGTTTCTAGGTGAAGTTTGAATATGCAGAAGTTAAAACACCCTATAGGCACGGTTTCTAGGTGAAGTTTGAATATGCAGAAGTTAAAACACCCTATAGGCATGATATCTACCCTTGCATGCATAGTTTCCCACCCTTTTTTCACTAGCCAGCCCCAAATATTTATTACAACTTATTACAAACCAGAATAATAAATTACATCAGAAAAGTACAAAGTAAAGTACAACCAGGGAAAGCCTGATTCTTGACTTCCTCTCTGAGTTATGAGATAGACCAACTCAAAGACCATTGATCCAAAGCCTTTCTCCGATTTGAGTGTGTCAGAGTTCCCTAAGAGCCTCAACGGGACTCTGGGCAGTGCTCACACCCAAATTGTATCACCAGAATAGGGACAAGTGCAGTGTGAAAGTGCCAGCCCTCAAGTGTCCAAGTTCAGAGGGAGCTCATGGGTCCCAAGGCAAGGCTCATAAGAGGGGGGCAGAACTTAAGTCTAAGAGAGAGTGCAAGTGAAGAAACAGAGTTCTGAGGGAATAAAGGAGAGGGAAAGAGGTGCTGGGAAACAGCCATAAACAAGTTGATAATTTCATACAAAAGGAGTTCAGGGGTTGGGAAATTGCAAAGAGCATATGTACTTAGGCAAGGGTCAGCTTTGGGCATGCACAACAATAGAAGATGATGGCACGCCTCTAAGCCCACCAGAACACGCAATACTAGAGAAACATAGAGGTTATGATCCCAGGGATCAAGTATGAGTCATGGACAGCAATGCTCAATACTGTCATGCCTCAAACGAACCATCAATATCAAACACATTGGGGTAGGGGTTTAGGATACTTAATACATAGATTTAGAATAGGAAGAAAGAAGTTACAGCATGCTAGAATAAAGTACTGAATTAAACACAAGCAGTAGGCAGACAAGGAGGCAAAAGTATTAAGTAAACATATTGTTGTGAAGCTGAAATTTTAATCAGGACATACCAGTTCAAAGAAGCAAAATACAGTAAAGGCAAGGTAGCAGGATTTTGAAATATAACTCTGGCTTTCAATCAGCTAAATAGGTCACAGTAGAAGTAGTAAAGTAGGAGAGAATGTTTTGAGTGTAAGTGATTTTAGAACTAAGAGTGTTCGTGTGTGTGCTAATGAAAGAGCAAGGTATTTATAGTTTGAAAACAGGTAGAAAATAAGGCAAGAATCATAGTTTAGCAATAATAATGGAACTATGTACTAATTAAAAATCAAATCAATATCAAAGACTTCCTTTAATTAAGGAGTTAGAATTAAACGGTAATAGGCCGAAAACATTTAAGGAAAGAAATCAAGTAGAGCATCATGTGCAGAATAGACAATTAGGGGTAAGTACATAGAGGTTTAATTAAGGGAATAACTAATGAAGAATCTTTGAAATACTCGGTTAACCAAATAAGGTAAGAAACACAATAAATCTGCAGAATATGGAGACAATCAACACATAGTAAATCAAGGAGTCAGGGATTCGAAATTACTGATTTGAGAGAATAACAATGGGTTCCCATGACTAGAAAATAACCAAGCTTAAGAACAGGAGAAATCGAAAGTCTAAAGGGAAGTTCAAATCAATCCAAGAAACAACACAAGGAGTGGTTTAAATCAGTACACAATTGAAGGTCATTTAGTAGGGAATTTAGCATATAAAAGAGTGCGTAAACATTAGGCAATGCGAGGTTGAACTTATGACAAAGAGAAGCATCATGCAATAACAATCACAAAGTCAGTAGATATTGAACTATCGAAACATGGTAGTCACATAGGTCAATTTCACCAACTTAGTAATAGAGAAAAGAGAGAGTATCAGAAGCATGCAAAAGGTCAAGTAAAAAGACCTTTCTGAAAAATATAGTCGAGTTTCAATGATTGCAAAAATTCAAATCACATAGAGAAGCAGAAGTTGAAACAAAAGGATTTTGAATCCAATCGAGCAACTTCGAATAGATGAAGCAGTTTTCAGAAGCTCGAATAGGTCCAAAGAAATTAGGGTTTTGAAACCAATCAAATTCAGAGATAATGGACAAGTAAATCACACAGCAAATAGTCTCAGAACTCGAATGAACCCAAAATTTTAGGGTTTTCACCATCAAACGAGTGTAGAGATGAAAAACAAGTAAATCAGACAAATACTAACAAAAATAGATTCAGAAATCTCAAAAAGGCTAAGGCCCTTAACATGCAAACTCAAGTAAAGAACGACATAAGGAAACACAACAGAACATGTTGAAAATCAAAGAAGGCTTCGAAAAACTTAACAAAAAACCAAAATACGAAAAGTAAAGGGGTTTAGAAGGTAGAGTTTGAAAGAAACCTTGAGAAAAATGTTTAGAAGTTTAGAGCAAACACGGATCTAAAATAGACCTAAAAGAAATCGGAAGACTTAAAGGTTAGGGTTTCAGAAGAACCCCAGATGGTGAGAAAGGCTTGGCAAATCATCGATCTAAGCAGGAGAAGTCAAGAGTCAGGCTTGAATAGCCATGGCTGGCCGGAGCAAGGTCAAAGATGACCGGAGACAGCCATAGAACTGAAATCAACCAAGGTCTGGACCAGGCTTTTCTAGGATCTAGCCTTGAAACCATGATAATCGGGCATGTAGAAGCCATAGGAGGTAGATACATGCTTCCAATGGCTTTGGAAGCCATTGATTTAGGCGGTTTTAGGGTGGTAGTTGAGGGCGACGGCTAGGGTTTAAGAGAGAATTGAGAGAGAAAGGGATTCAGAGGTGGCTGGGGGTGAGAAATAATAGGGTTTAGGGGTCGTTTGGGATTAATTATGGAAAGGGGATTTGGTGGCCGTTGATCATTTTGATCAACGGCCTGGATTGAATGGGTAGGTAGGGGATCCGGGGCGGGTTATTCTAATTGGGTCGTGGGTCGGGTATGACTGGGATTTGGGCTGGGTAATTGGGTTTAAAATTGGGGGTTCGATTCAGGCTACAATTGAAACAAAATTGGGCCAGGTTTTAAATAGCCACTTTTCCATTATTTATTTTATAAAAAATAGTAGAATAATTTCCGGAAATAAATTAAGGGTACTAAGATGATTAATAATACATAATTATCAAATTAAAAATATTGGACCTAATTTTTATAGACATAAACGTAATTAAATCTAAAGGGGGCTAATATTGCATTTATATGCAATTCAGTTTTAAAAATACTAAATAAATTTGTAAAAATATGCAAAAATTACATTAGCTATATTTTAGCATAAATATGAGAGTCCATAAATGAATCACCAAAATGGTAGTTTTGGGAATAATTATTGGATTTTTCTGGATAAAATAGGGCAATAAATTGATTTTAAAAATCTTTAAAAATTAAGGAAAAATAATAAAACATTTGGGCATACCTATATATGCATACATATGCTATTTTGAAAGTATTTTGCATATTAAAAATATTTAGGGAAAAATTGGGTATCAACAACTGCCCCTCTTTACCCGGAAAGGATGAAAGAGTTGTCGGGTAAAGATATGATAGCCAATTTTGACCTGGTGAAATGGTTTGAAGAGGTTTGGCAGTGCTCTGGCTTCTGAGCTGCCTACATATCCCTGGTCTTACAGGAATTAGGCCATATATAGTTCAGGATCCGTCGGCGGAGTATGCCGATAGAGACTTTTCAAGAACGGACGCAATATTCAAGACGGGGTGAATGGTTAAAATATAATAGGGCTGCAAGAACTGGAGCGGGATCGCTCCTGCCGAGATGGCCGTTGCTCGCCGGTTCACCTGCAAATAAGCAATACAAGCATATATTGTGCATAAATTCAAACATGATGCACATTCCCGTCGGACCATGAATGTTGTCTTTGGACGATTAGAATGACGTCCTTAGACCATGATGTCCTGGGCCATGAAGCGTATAATAAAGGATTCGCAGGACATGAGATGATGCTCTCGGGCTATGGGAATGATGCCTCCGAACCATGACGCCTTTGAATAATGATATGCAAAAGATTAAAAGGGATCCTCAGACCATGACATGGTGTTCTCGGGCTATGCAAATGGTGCCTCTGAACAATGACGCCTTTGGATAGTTTGGCGATCTTTTAGCCCATGAGATGCAGTAGGTGGCGACTTTTAAGCCATGCAAATGTAAATAAGGTGGTGGTCTTTCAGCCATGCAAATATAAATGAGGTGGCGATCTTTCAGCCATGCAATGCAGAAGTGGCGATCTTTCAGCCATGCAGATGTAAAGGTGGCGATCTTTCAACCATGCAAATGTAAAGGTGGCGATCTTTCAGCCATGCAAATGCAGAAGTGGCGATCTTTCAGCCATGCAAATGTAGATAAGGTGGCGAGCTTTCAGCCATGCAAGTAAAGGTGGCGATCTTTCAGCCATGCAATGCAGAAGTGGCGATCTTTCAGCCATGCAATGCAGAAGTGGCGATCTTTCAGCCATGCAAATGTAAAGGTGGCGATCTTTCAGCCATGCAATGCAGAAGTGGCGATCTTTCAGCCATGCAAATGTGAAGGTGGCGATCTTTCAGCCACGCAATGCAGAAGTGGCGATCTTTCAGCCATGCAAATGTAGAGGTGGCGATCTTTCAGCCATGCAATGCGAAAAATGCAGATGGAGACAGCGTTTAGTCTCGGAAGGCAGAATGGTAGCCTTATGCAATGTGGTAAAATGCAGATGGAGACAGTGTTTAGTCTCAGAAGGCATAATGGTAGCCCTATGCAATGCGATAAAATGCAGATGGAGACAGTGTTAGTCTCGGAAGGCAGAATGGTAGCCTTATGCAATGCGGTAAAATGCAGATGGAGACAGTGTTTAGTCTCGGAAGGCAGAATGGTAGCCTCATGCAATGAAGAAAAATGCAGATGGAGACAGCGTTTANCTGTCAAAAGGAAGACGAATCAATTAAACACATTTTCCTAGATTGTGATAATGCTAAAAATTTTTGGAATGATTTAGGAATAGCAAATATTATCCATCATATAACAACCTCTCCATGCACACATACCTGGGTTCATAATCTGATTAATCATAAGTCTTTTCAACTTCCTTTTAATATCAAACCTAACACTTATTTAGCACTTAGCTTATGGAACATCTGGAATACTCGTAATAAAAACCTTCACAATAAGGTCAGGATTAAGATCCTTCCAAAAATAGTGAATCAACAAGCCACTGAATTTTGTTACTTAACATCCTACAATCATAAGCCAAGTGCCAAAACTAAACTGCCAAAAGATGTTAAATGGAATCCGCCTAAGGAACATTTCTACAAGCTAAATACAGATGGTGCTTATTCGCAACACAAGGCAGGTATAGGAGGAGTCATTAGGAATTCCAAAGCTGAATGGATCATGGGCTTTGCGGGTGCTGCACCATGTCACTCTGCCATCTTTTCAGAGCTTTATGCATTAGCACAAGGCCTCAGATATGCCTATGAAAGGAATCTCACACCCCTTGAAGTGGAAGTGGATGCAATGGACATTATCTCTTTACTACATACAGAAAATTTTGCTCTTTCTAACATAATAGCTGATTGCAGGTACTATCTGGACCGACTAGGTAATCCTGCAGTTAAACACGCGTACAAAGGGCAAAATGTGATAGCAGACCAACTAGCTAAGAAGGGCGACAAGTTTGGTAATGTACGGGCGCCAAGGGTGTTTGAAGTTGTTCCCTTTTTGGTTGCACACATTTTGACAATGAAAAAGGCTGCTCAATTCAAAGCTACTTAGGACAGCAACAGTCTTGGTATAGCTACAGTGGCAATAATAATCAAATCTCCTATGATGTACTTAGTTTTCATGATGATAATTCCAACAGGATGACCATGACAACTGTAAATACTAGTACTACCTTAAGTCTTGATAATACCGCAACTGCTTGTAATAGGGAGCCAGTTAGGCCCCAATCCTCTGTACGCATTAACTAATCAATAATATATATATATATTATCTTTCCTACCAAAAAAAAGAAAGTGTTTTGCATATTAAAAATATTTAGGAAAAAATTGGATATCAACAGCTGCCCCTCTTTACCCGGGAAGGATGAAAGAGTTATCGGGTAAAGATATGATGGCCAATTTTGACCTGGCAAAATGGTTTGAAGAGGTTTGGCCGTGCTCTGGCTTCTGAGCTGCCTACATATCCCTGGTCTTACATGAATCAGGCCATATGTAGTTCAGGATCCGTCGGCGGAGTATGCCGATAGAGACTTTTCAAGAACGGACGCAATATTCAAGACGGGGTGAATGGTTAAAGTCTAATTGGGCTGCGGGAACTAGAGCGGGATCGCTCCTGCCGAGATGGCCATTGCTTGCCGGTTCACCTGCAAATAAGCAATACAAGCATATATTGTGCGTAAATTTAAATATGATGCACATTCCCGTCGGACCATGAATGTTGTCTTTGGACGATTAGAAAGACGTCCTTAGACCATGATGTCCTAGGCCGTGAAGCGTATAATAAAGGATTCGCAGGCCATGAAATGATGCTCTCGGGCATGGGAATGATGCCTCCGAACCATGACGCCTTTGAATAATGATATGCAAAAGATTAAAAGGGATCCTCAGGTCATGGCATGGTGTTCTCGGGCTATGCAAATGGTGCCTCTGAACAATGACGCCTTCAGATAGTTTGGCGATCTTTCAGCCCATGAGATGCAGTAGGTGGCGATCTTTCAGCCATGCAAATGTAAATAAGGTGGCGATCTTTCAGCCATGCAAATGTAAATGAGGTGGCGATCTTTCAGCCATGCAAATGTAAATGAGGCGGCGATCTTTCAGCCATGCAAAGGTAACAAGGTGGCGATCTTTCAGCCGTGCAAGTGTAGATAAGGTGGCGATCTTTCAGCCATGCAAATGTTGATAAGGTGGCGATCTTTCGGCCATGCAATTGTAAAGGTGACGATCTTCCGGCCATGCAATGCAGAAGTGGCGATCTTTCAGCTATGCAAATTTAAAGGTGGCGATCTTTCAGCCATGCAATACAGAAGTGGCGATCCTTCTGCCATGCAAATGTAGAGGTGGCGATCTTTTAGCCATGCAAATGTAAAGGTGGCGATCTTTTAGCCATGCAAATGTAAAGGTGGCGATCATTCAGCCATGCAATGCAGAAGTGGCGATCTTTCAGCCATGCAATGCGAAAAATGCAGATGGAGACAACGTTTAGTCTCGGAAGGCAGAATGGTAGCCATATGCAATGCAGAAAATGCAGATGGAGACAATGTTTAGTCTCGGAAGGCAGAATGGTAGCCTTATGCAATGCCGTAAAATGCTGATGGAGACAATGTTTAGTCTCGGAAGGCAGAATGGTAGCCTTATGCAATGCAGAAAAATGCAGATGGAGACAGTGTTTAGTCTCGGAAGGCAGAATGGTAGCCTTATGCAATGCAGAAAATGCAGATGGAGACAGTGTTTAGTCTCGGAAGGCAGAATGGTAGCCTTATGCAATGCAGAAAAATGCAGAGGGAGACAGCGTTTAGTCTTGGAAGGCAGAATGGTAGCCTTATGCAAGAAATAAAAAGGGTAAATGGTGATAGAGCTTTCTTAGCTGATAGCAAGTTGCGATATTATGACTGCTGGGGATAATGTGATACAGGGAATATCACTGGCGCGCGTGGATAGCAAATGTTGGTAAGTGCAACAAAATCGAGATTTGTATTCATCAACAATGTTTGTCTTGTGAGTGTATAGTATGTCAGAGGCTTTTGCGATCCAAGTGCCTGCATCTACAGAAAAATCGTGAGTTTTGTAGAGGGGGAGGTTAGTTCGCATCCCTGCTGGCTATGCTTGACCTGCTCGGCTTTGATTTGGTGATACGGTGCGTATTATTGGGGTAGCGTTGCTAAACAAGGCAATTTCAGCAATAAACATGCATGACTTAGTAAAACATAACATAAACACATAATTAATAATAGTTTTCTTTAGATGAACCGACGATTCCAACGTGGTTCAAGACATTGCAACCCTTCCTGCTACAGAATTTTGAGGGTCCTCCTCAAAATTCTGCCCCAGTTTAATGGGTTGATGCTTCTGACGGTTGCTTGCGATGATTGGCTAAAATTACTTCGGAATTTTGAGGGTCCTCCTCAAAATTCTACCCCGGTTTCCAATTTCGGGGGGGGGGGAATGAAAATTTTATTGAATTGTGACCGAACCCATAGGGCTGCCTATGTATCCCCTCTTAAACGGGAATCAGGTCAGGCGTGGTTCAATTTACATCATATAGGGAAAGCATGAAAATTACACATAGTAACGCTTGACTGCATCTGAATTAATTGGCTTTGGCCAGACTTCTCCGTCCATTTCGGCAAGTATGAGGGCTCCTCCTGTCAGAACCCGATGAACCATGTATGGACCCTGCCAGTTGGGGGAAAACTTCCCTTTGGCCTCATCTTGATGCGGGAAAATTTTCTTTAACACCAGCTGCCCTGGCATGAACTGTCTCGGCTCGACTCTTTTGTTGAAGGCTCTAGACATTCTGTTCTGATAAAGTTGACCATGGCAAACTGCATTCATTCTCTTTCCATATATAAGAGCCAGTTGCTCGTAGCGACTCTTCACCCATTCTGCATCGTCGAGCTCAGCTTCCTGTATTATTCTTAAGGAAGGAATTTCCACTTCGGCGGGAATGATGTCTTCTGTACCATAAACCAGCATATAGGGGGTTGCCCCAATTGATGTGCGGACTGTGGTGCGATACCCCAACAGAGCAAATGATAGCTTTTTGTGCCGTTGCTTATGTTTCTCTATCATTTTTCTCAATATCTTCTTGATGTTCTTGTTGGCGGCTTCTACAGCTCCATTCATCTGAGGCCTGTAGGCTGTAGAATTCTTGTGTCTGATCTTGAAGGTTTCACACATGATTCTCATCAAGTCTCTGTTGAGATTGGAACCATTATTAGTAATGATTGATTCTGGAATCCCGAACCGACAAACAATGCGGTCGCGGACAAAGTCTGCCACGACTTTCTTAGTTACTGTTCTGTAAGATGCTGCTTCGACCCATTTGGTGAAATAGTCGATGGCTACTAGGATAAACCTTTGTCCGTTTGAAGTGATGGGCTCAATTGGACCAATAACGTCCATTGGCCAGGCGGCGAATGGCCAAGGCGAGCTTGTTGCATTGAGCTCATTCGGCGGCACCTTTATCATGTCGGCATGAATCTGACAGTGATGGCATTTCCAGACATACTGGATGCAATCTGTCTCCATAGTCATCCATAGGGCTGGGCATATATCGGGTATAACCGATAAACCGAACCGATAAAATGCTATTGGGTTATCGGTATCGGGTTATTAGGTAAATAGTTCGATAACGGTTTAATGTTATTTGACTAATGGGTTATCGGTTCGGGTATCGGTTTGCCCAATTTTATTAACGGTTTAACCGATAGCCCAATAAGCTTTATCAAAATTATAATTTTATCCACTAAGTATATAAAATCATCTTATGGCTTCATTCTCTCAATTCTCTCGGTAGTTACTCTTCATCTTCTGACCTTAATCCTTAGAGTAAGTTTTAAACTTTTCTGAAATTATCATTTTAATTTTTCAATTAAGATTTTTAGTTTTAAACTTTAGAGAATTAATTGTTTAGATTTTTAGTTTTTCTATTTGTTTCTTTTGTTGCACTGATTCTTTAGTATTTACAAGATTAGGATTTTATTATTTTCCTATGAATTATGCCCGCCCGCCCGCCCGCCCGTAGTGAGATAGTTAGTAAGATTAGATTGTTGAATGTCTTATCCCTTACTCCTATTAACTTATAACTTTGAAAATTGAGATCATTCATTGGGATTTCCAAATGCAAAGAAAGTTTTATTTTCTAAGTTGAAATTTAATCCCTCTTCTCTTAAGAGCAAAAATTCAATTCCTTTCTCTTAATAGTATGGTCACGATTTCTATAATAAATTTTTGGATAGTTTTTATTCTTATTGGGTAAAACGATAACCGAACCGATAAGGATTGATAACCGACTAACCGACACCTAATAACCGATATCTTATCGGTTCGGTTATCGGTTTAGTATATTTATAAACCGATAACCGATATGAAAAACCGATAATATTCACAACCGAACCGAACCGATGATGCCCACCCCTAGTCATCCAAAAGTAACCAGCTCGGAGTATCTTCTTTTCTAAGACAAAACCGTTCATATGTGGACCGCAGGTCCCAGCGTGGATTTCCTCTAGTAGCTTGGATGCTTCCTTTGCGTCGACACACCTCAACAATCCCAAATCAGGAGTCCTCCTATATAGGATTCCTCCGCTGTGGAAGAAGTTATTGGATAACCTCCGAAGTGTGCAATTCTGAATAGGATTTGCAAGTTCTGGATATTCTCCTTTTGTCAAATATTCCTTGATATCCTGAAACCAAGGTTTTCCGTCTGCTTCTTCTTCGACGTGGGTACATTAGGCTGGCTGATCATGGATCTTTATTGGAATGGGATCAATGAAGTTCTTATCGGGATGCTGTATCATGGATGACAGGGTAGCCAATGCATCGGCAAATTCATTCTGGATTCTGGGAACATGTCAGAATTATGTCTTTGTGAACCTCTTTCTCAACTCCTGCACATGGTGCAGATACGGGAGTATCTTAGAGTTCTTGGTTGCCCATTCTTCTCGGACCTGATGTATGAGTAAGTCTGAATCTCCAATCACTAGCAACTCTTGAATGTTCATTTCAATAGCCATCTTGAGCCCTAGGATGCAGGCTTCATACTCGGCCATATTGTTGGTGCACCGGAACCTGAGTTTGGCAGGCATCGGATAATGCTGACCGGTTTCTGATACTAGGACTGCTCCTATGCCAACTCCTTTGAAATTTGTTGCTCCATCGAAAAACATTCTCCAGCCATCATAGGATTCTGCAATGTCTTCTCCTATGAATGATACCTCTTCATCAGGAAAATACGCCTTCAGGGGTTTGTATTCTCTATCCACGGGGTTTTCGGCAAGGTGATCCGCTAGTGCCTGTCCCTTGATTTCTTTTTGAGTCACGTAGACAATGTCGAACTCACTCAACAGGATTTGCCACTTGGCCAGCTTGCTAGTGGGCATGGGCTTCTGAAAGATGTACTTTAGAGGATCCATCCTTGATATGAGGTATGTAGTATAGGCACAGAAGTAATGCCTCAGCTTCTGATCTACCCAAGTCAAAGCACAGCATGTGCGCTCTAACAGAGAATACCGGGCCTCGTACGGAGTGAATTTCTTACTGAGATAGTAAATGGCCTATTCCTTTCTCCCTGTTTCATCATGCTGCCCTAGAACGCAGCCGAAAGCTCCATCCAATACTGCAAGGTAGAGTAATAGAGGTC